TAATAAAGTAAGGTCATAATGTTATTCAATTACCCTCTAACACATTCAGAGGAAATTCGACTTTAAAGAAAAAGTCTAGAATTGCCTTAATAAACATTTTCACTTTTCTTATTTGGCAATCAAAAATCCTACTTTTGAAATTACACAGCAAATGACTTTAATAGTTGTCTAGTGGCAATAATATGTACAGATTGTCATATGACAAAAGAAGACTGTTAGTTTACGGAGTTAAATTAAATCATTCCCAAGCACATGAAAATTTTAAACATGATTCTGAAGACATAAGACAAATATTTAAGTTCTTTTTAAATGCTGAGCACTGGGTTTCTTTTGCATTAGAATTTTTAGGAGTTTTTAAATAATAAAATATAAACATGATTTAAAAAAATAAGACAAGGCATTCATAAAACCACTTTAAGTTAAAATATTCTTAAAAATATATTTTTATTGATTTTATTTATTTTTGTTAACCGTCACCTGAAGATATTTTATCATTATTTCTGTTTGCTTGTTTTTTGTTGTTTTTTTTTTGTTCGTTCGTTTGTTTGTTTTTTTGGGGAGAGTGGAAGAAAGAGGGAAAGACAAAGAGAAACATCGATGTGAGAGAAACATTTTGATTGGTTGCCTCCTGCAGGCCAGGGAGGAGCCTGCAACCAAGGTAAGTGCCCTTGACCAGAATGGAACCCAGGACCCTTTGGTCCACAAACCTACTCTCTATGCACTGAGCCAAACAGGCTAGGGCTATTTTTATTTATTTATTTTGGAGAGGAAGAGAGCGATAGAAACAATAATGAGAAGAGAGGATCATTGATGGGCTGCCTCCTACTAAGGATCAAGCCAGAAACCTGGGCATGTGCCCTGACCAGGAATTGAATCATCACCTGCTGGTTCATAGGTTGTCGCTCAACCACTAAGCCACACTGGCCAGGCCATACAAATATTCTTTAGCCATTCAGTATAATCCATGGTAGCAAAAATACTGGGTGACAACAGGCCTGGTGATGAAGAGCATACACTTGGGGATCAAACCTTGTTTCTATTACTCTCTCATCCCTTAGAGTATCTTAAGCGATTTGAGCCTCAGTTTCTACAATTGAAACACAGAGTTAATAAACTTCCTCAAAACAGAGTAGCACATTTTTTTAAAACAATAATACTATAAAGCGCCTAAATGCATCTTTAATTTTAAAAGGCAAAACAAAGCTGAAATTTGTGATCTTGAGTTCCCAATAAATGATTACCAGCAGTCTCCACCCTTTTATAGCTTTATCTCCATCACTCCTGTCGATATCTAATTAACCAAAGATCCTCAGATGTGGTTGCATATTAGAATCACCTGAGCAGTATTTAAAAAGTCTCCATGCCCTTGTGCCAGGCCAGCTAAAGTAAAGTCAGGATAGGACTGTGAGAGTATGGGTATCAGTAATAAGGTCCCCAGGGATTTCTCATGTTCAAACCTCAGCTAAGGCATTCAACTTCTAAGTAGTCAATAAATGTTAGCTACCAAGAACTCAATTTACATAATCAGTGAATTTTAGAACCAGTAATATCTATACTAATAATAGAGGAATATGCAAATTGGTCAGGACACCCTCACACAACAACCGAACAGCAGGTTGCGTGGGGCAACTAGGCCATAAGGGGGGGGGGGCAGTAAGGGGTGACCAGGCTGGCAGAGGAGGGCAGTGAGGGGTGACTAGGCCAGCAAAAAGGGGCAGTGAGGGGCAACCAGGCCGGTGGGGGGTGGGGCAGCTGGGGGTGCCAGGTAGGCGGGGGCCCAGTTAGGGGCAATCAGGCAGGCAGCATTGCTGGATTGTGAGAGGGATGTCCAACTGGCGGTTTAGGCCCTATCTCCAGGATCGGGCCAAACTCGAGGAGTCCCGGATTGGAGATGGTGCAGGCTGGGCACCCTCACACAACAACCGAACAGCAGGTTGCGTGGGGCAACTAGGCCATAAGGGGGGGGGGGGCAGTAAGGGGTGACCAGGCTGGCAGAGGAGGGCAGTGAGGGGTGACTAGGCCAGCAAAAAGGGGCAGTGAGGGGCAACCAGGCCGGTGGGGGGTGGGGCAGCTGGGGGTGCCAGGTAGGCGGGGGCCCAGTTAGGGGCAATCAGGCAGGCAGCATTGCTGGATTGTGAGAGGGATGACCAACTGGCGGTTTAGGCCCTATCTCCCGGATCGGGCCAAACTCGAGGAGTCCCGGATTGGAGATGGTGCAGGCTGGGCTGAGGGGACCCCCCCCCATGCATGAATTTAGTGCACTGGGCCTCTAGTACCCACATAAAAGCTAAAGAAAGCGGCTGCTGCTAGATCATTCCTTAATGTCTATATCCTCCACCTTCAATTAACTCCCTAGGTCCAAAGCTAAAAAATTATAAAGTAGTACACTTTTTTCCCCACTGACCATTCTTGAAAATTTGTTTCAGAAACAAAACATTAAGGTCCCTTGCCCTGGCTGGTGGTGCTCAATAGTTAGAGCGTCAGTCTGTGCAACTGTGCACTAGAGGGTCTCAGGTTCAATTTCTGGTCAAGGGCACTTACCTTGATTGCAGGTCCAATCCCTACCCTTGGTCCAGAGTCCTGTGGGAGGCAACCAATTGGTATGTCCCAGTCATACAGATTGTTTTTCTCTCTCTCCTCTCTCTTTATCCCTCTCCCCGCTCCATTCCACTCTCTCTAAAATCAATGGAAAAAATATCCTCACTTCTCGGGTATTAAAAAACAAAAAGAAACATTAAGGTTCCTCAAAGCAAGACAAACTACATGTTGACATTTAAATTTCAAAGAGGTTTATTTTATCTTATTTTATTTTTAAGCCTATCTACATGGACAAGTACAAAAACACAAGCACTAGTAGCTCTAAAGCTAAGGTACCCAAGATGACTCTTTGAAATTTAAATGTATAATATTGTGTTTAGAAAAAGATTAACAGCAATTAATGCAATGAACTAGGCAACTAGTCCTGTTTTTCTTGGTATTGCCACTAATTTGCTAGGAGACTTCTGCAAAGTCACTCGGTGTCTCTGGGCTTCAGATTGTCATTTATAAAATATAGAGTTGCATTAAATTTATTTAAAATGACCTGTTACAACAATGTAAGGCATGGAAAATTACAGAGAAATTCTATAGAGCAGTAATATACAAGATTAAGGATTAAACTAGCACTAGCCCTTGTAGGCTATTAGAGTAATGAGTCATGATTTAAGTAGTTTTATAGCAAGGAATTTACTTCTCAAACCTAATGATTTATTATAACATATTAACTGAGCTTGCTCCCTGCCACTTCCAAAATACCTCTACCTAGGATATTATTTTACACAGTTAAAACCTTTTAAATGTCTTGGGTTTTTAAGAAAACAACAAAAGCAATACTGAATGCTGAATGTTCAATAAATACCATGTAACAGGCACTTGGGATATGCCAAGGGACAAGATAGATAAGTAAAAGAAGACAAAGTAGAGAAGTCTTTTTTTGTTAATACTTTTCAGATACTGATAACTTTTCTGGATAGAATAATGTAAGGTAAAATGATTTAGTGGGGTGCTTTTAGATATATTGAAGCATTATTCCAGATGTCGCTCTTTAAATTAGGAGAGGGCAAAATTCCTTGAAAGTATTTTCTTCATATTTGAGAAATTAGATAAAAGTTTTATGTATTCTTCTAAACAAAGAACTTATTAATTAAACCTTTAAATTCTCAAAAGTAAAATCTTAAGTATCTTAACTATAGCCATGCTTATCACTAGAAAATTCTTACAATTCCTTCATCTCAGAGCCATCCGATCTCATCTATTTTACTCAAAAGTATTAATTGATTTCTCAACACCCATAAGTATATTTTGTGTAAGTGCATATGCTGGGTTCTTTTTTAAGTACTTTACCCTATCCATTTTCAAATCCACCAATTTAATTATATCTTATTTTATGGTTCCTTACTACGTCTCAGTATTCCTGAAATATGTGTCACCTTTAATTTATATAACTCTGCAGCTCCACTGACAGGCTCATGCTATGATTATTAATATCTTCCTATCAATGTATTTCTTTACCCATAGATCCTAATGTGAGAATATGTGGAAGAATATATGATAATATCTAAACGGAGAAAAAAAATGGGGAAAGAATAGAAATGGGAGTCAACAGCAGTACGGCTACTTGCAAAGGGAAGAAGATAAGTCTTTGGAACAAAATGAAAGAATTAATTCATGCACTACGTAAGCATTATGCTAAATATCTTTTCTATTAGTCATTTTGCTCTGAGACTTTCCCATGTTTCCTCTAGACAACTGCCAATGCTCGCATGGCCTCTGATGAATAAACATGCTGGGACTTGCTTCTACGGAAACGTCTGTCATGCCCCAGGGAAAAAATGACTTCTCTGCTCTTAAATCAGGAAAATTGCACACTCTCATTCACAGGTTACAAAGTCGATTTTTCCTTTCATGTTTCTTTCCTGGGATGTTTCTATTCTTTTTAGGGCATTTCTACATTCAGCGTATCAGAAAAAAATCTGAGTCGGGGGAACACTTGTAGGAAAACGTTACACCGCACCAGAGGGGTGTCCCACCCAGAAGCTCGAGGAGCACCCGGTAAGCCTTCGCTGCTGACCAAGACGAAGGTTTTTGTTTCAGGTACCCCCAGTCTCTTGCGGAACTACCTGTTCTCATTACTGTTTACCCAAACGCTTAGCAAGGTGATATTAGCATATCTGGCAGGAAGGCATGCTTCATTTAATATTAACTCACCATGTGACAGCCCCTTCACCTCCAATCTCTCCTCAAACACGTGAGGAAACGAAGAAAAGTATGGTTGTTTGCAGTCTGACTCCGCGCTAGGCTTTGGCACGAGTAATTGGTCACAGGCACACACACCCCCAAGCAGAGGCGCGCACCCCGCCCGGTCCCGGAACTGTCAAGCGGGCTGACAGCTGGCACACCATCCGGGGGCCCTCCAGCCGCTCGCGGAGAGCCCCCTCCTTAGTCACCTTGACATGGCTCACCTGCCTGGGCCTCCGCTCCGGTCCAAGGAAACTTTTTCCTCCTTCCCAGGAAGGAGCTCAGTTACAGGTATCGCCCGCCGCCCTCCCGGAGCCCCAACAAGGGGCCCTTTGTTACCATGTCTGCTCCCGGACTCCTCGCCCCGTCCCTGGCATCCAGCTGCTCTTCCGCAGCCCCGAGCAGCCGCGGGAGGAAAGCCATGACCAACTAGCCGGGCCCCCACCCCCGGCGGCCTCCGCGGAGGCCGGAGGAAGCAGCCTCCCCGGCCGCGTGC